TCAACGTCTACCGATAATCTTCCATCGACAAATATCTGTTCTTGATATAATTGTTGGCAAATCTCAAGCATTAACATCTCTTCAATCACGTGGTGTTTATTTAATATTAAATGGTGTTACAAATATTCGTACAATTGAAACGGATGTACCATTAAGATCACAAGATGTTCATGATCTTGTTAATCGTACTGGTCGTTTAATAACATTTTATGTTCAATATTTCTTCCCAATGACTTAACAACAAACATCTTCAATACAAACAACAACTAATACAGATAATGAATTAATTAATACAAGTTTAAATCACACTATTGAAGAACTTCATATACTAATTTCATTGTAACAAACAACAAAAAAATGTTTAAATACACGTCGTAAAGATCCAATTATTCGTAATATTAATTCACATCCATTAGAAACTCAACAAAATATATCAACATCATCAAAACGACCTATATTTGAAGTTCATGTAATAGCACATTGTCAGAAAATGATATTTTTTATAACAATTATTTCAACATTAAAAGCTCAATATAAGATAGCTGTTGCTAATATTAGTGGAATGAAATCACGTTATACAATTGTTATACATGAACATGTTTTACATTTTTTAATTAATAATAATCATGATCATCAGCAATCTCCAACAGTTAGTTCAGATAATCATGTACGAATTGATTTTCCTGGAATACGTTGTTATGAAAATTATTCTATTCAACAAGAACAAGAAAATAAGACAAAAGATCATTTAAATCTTCGTACAAAAATTGGGCTATGGGTCGACAATTGTATGAAAGTGAACCTGTTTTTACTCGATGGATTCAATTGATTGATGCTGAAATGACGAAGATTAACAATGGTGAATGGCATCTATTGGAAGAATTGATTAACAAAAAAAGTGAAAATGAATCTCGTATCAATGATACAAATATTGCTCAACCAGCTTTATTCGCTATTCAAGTTGGACTCGCTGCTTTACTTGTCTCATGGAATATTTATCCTTCAACAATCGTGTCATATAGTGCTGGTGATCAGGCAGCTGCTTTTGTTGCCGGTCGTCTCACTTTGCAAGGAGCTGTTCGTATTGTTTATCATCGATCACGTCTTTAAAATCGTAATACACGACAAGGTGGTCGTATGTTAGCTGTTTCAATGAGTGAAGAAGAAGTAGAAAATAGACTTCTTGAAGATATTGAACATTTGGCTTGTATTGTTGTTGTTAATAGTCCTCGTCTAGTAATAATAAGTGGTGATGAAAAAACAATTGAGGAAATATAACAAATTCTTTCGATAGCTTATCCTGATGTATTTAAAGCACGTCTTCGTATTGAAAATGCATTTCATTCATATCAAATGAATCGATTTGATATTGAAAAAGAAATGCTTTCATCATTGAAAGATATTCGAGAATTTCCAATACAAGATAAAAAACAAATCTTCGATCCGATATGTGCAAAAGTAAAACTTTATTCAAGTGTTATTGGTGAGCAAATGAATGATAATATACCGGTTAATGGTCAATATTGGTGGTCAAATGTGAGACAAGCTGTGAGATTTTATGATGCTATGGCATCAATTCAGCAACATGATGCCCCAACTGTTTTTCTCGAGTTGTCACCACATCCAGTTTTAGCAACATCTATTCGTGAATGTTATGAATT